GTGTGTGTGTGTGTGTGTGTGTGTGTGTGTGTGTATGGTGATGGGAATTTAACCCAGGGCTTATGAACTATAGACAAGCCTGCTACCAGCCCTAGTGAATAACACTGACATTATTTCCCAAACAACCTGCAATGAACGTCTCTTATGAGCCTCTGGGTATCTGTCTCAAGGAGACACCAAAGGACAAGTATGTTTGATATTTCCACACTACCATACACCCCTCCCCGCAGTAGCCCCACAACTCCTCTAGTACTTATTTAAGGCATTTGGTCTGATGGAGCACCTGCCAGCAAGATGCAAATTACTCTGGCAGAGATAATCAAATGCTCAAACCCTGGCACTATGTTGGATGGTATGTAGGGTGGCGTGTAGGATAGCTTCAGAGTAGAGTTATGGGATTTCCCAGGAAGGCTGTGAGCTGCCTGAAGACAGAGGGCACTGAGAGCTGGATGTATTAATTACTCTTGTTGTTGCCATGACAAATACCTGACAAGAAGCAACTCACAGAAGGGTTTGTTTTGGCTCACAGTTCAAGGGAATACTTTATGGTCAGGAAGAGGCATCGTGGACAACTCACATTGTATCCACTGTCAGGAATCAGAGAGCAGACAGGAAATAGGGCCAGGCTATCAAATCCCCAGACCCCCATCCAGTGACCCACTTCCTCCAGTGAGGTTCCACTTCCTTAAAGGTCAACACTTTCCAAAACAGCATCACCAGCTAGAGACCAAGTGTTCAAGCCCATGAGCCTATGGGGGACATTTCCTTAAACCACAATAGGAGTGGGGTGACCAAAAAGATAGTCAAAGACACGAAGTTACAAGATCACCTTCAATTGGGGAAAGGCTGGGGAAGCTGGAAGAACAGAAGCAAAGAACTGTCACCTGAGCCAGGCATGATCCCAGCACCCTGGAGGTAGAGGCAGGAGGATCAGGAGTTCAAGGTCAGCCTCAACCACATAGCAAGTTTGAGGCTGGCATGAGCTGCTTGAGACCCTATCTCAAAAAAAAGAGAGAGAGAGCTGGGCTGGGGAGGTGGCTCGGCAATTAAGAGCACTGGCTGCTCTTGCTGAGGACCTGGGTTCGGTTCCTAGCACCTACATAGTGTCTAACAATCATCTGTAACTCCAGTTCCAGGGGACCTTCTTCTGGCCTCCCTGGGCATTGCACACACGTGGTGCACTAACATGCAGGCAAAACACTTATACACATAAAATATAAATTAAAAAATGAGTTCAATAAATTATAAGATTATTCTAACAGAAGTTTTATATTTTTACTCAGTTTAATTTTTCTTTTTGCTCTCATTCTTTTTCATTTATTTTTTTGGGGGGGTTGTTTGTTTGGTTGGTTTGGTTTGGTTTTTTGTCTTTTTGAGACAGGGTCTCCCTGTAGCCCCAGCTGGCCTGGAACTCACAGAGATCCACCTGCCTCTGCCTCCTGAGTGCTGGGATTAAAGGTGTGCGCCACCACACCAGGCTTTCGTTCTCTTTTTTTGTCTCAAGCCTATCATTACTGCAAGGTTGTGTCATCAAAACTTCTAAGGTAGTATCATCCAAACTTCGATGAACATCAAAATCTCCTGGGGGAACCTTTTGAAAATCCACATACACAGGTCATAGCCCCTATTAATTATCCTAGGATGCCTGAGGCTTGGAGCCAGACATCTGCAGTTTAAAACACTAATCCAATGAATAAGAACAAAGAATGTTTAGGATTTAAAAAAATCTAATTTCATCATACCTATAATCCTAGCACTTAGCACTTAGGAGGCAGAGGCAGGAGGACTGTCACAAGTTCAAGACAAGCCTTGCTCTACATAGCAAGTTCCAGGCCCACCAGGACTCATAATTATTGGACTCTGCCAATAATTTCAGCTCTTAGGAGGCTGAGGCAGGAGGATTGGAGTGAGTTCAAAGCTAGCCTGGGCTACGTAATGAGTTATAGGCGAATCTGGGTTACGGAGTGAGATAGACTATCTCAAACCACCTCCACAAGCTGGGCATGGTGGCACATGCCTTTAATCCCAGCACTTAGGAGGCAGAGGCAGACAGATCTTTGTGAGTTCGAGGCCAGCCTGGTATACATAGTGAGTTCCAGGACAGCTGGGGCTACAAGGAGACCCTGTCTCAAAAAGACCAAAAAAAAAAAAAACACCTCCAAAAAGCAAAACAATACACACGCACACGCACGCACACGCACACACGCATGCACACATACACGCACGCACACATATCCAAAAAGCAAAACAATACACACGCACGCACACGCACACACGCATGCACACATACACGCACGCACACATACACGCACGCACGAAAAAATAGCTTCGCACACATGCACGCACACACATAATTTTTAGGCAGTAAAGGACAATAAAACTGTTAGTTTAAATAACTCTTTTTCCCTTTGATCAGAGAACGTCCATTTCATTAAACCTGTTGAATGGTCGCTGACAAAATGAGATACAATATTAGTAAGATTTGTTGAGTTGACGCTTTAAGGTGAGCGTTTGACTATCAAATTGTTGACTACAGGGCTTGGGAGTGTAGCTGAGTGGTAACGCCCTTGACTACCATGTGTGGGAACCTGGGTTCAATACCCAGCACTGAAAGAAAGCAAAAGAGATTGAGTCCAGAGAGAACAGAAGCCTCAGCGTCTTCCTGATGTGTTTGCACAGGATACACTGATCGCCAGTCAAGCTTTGTGAGCCCAAAAAAGGCATCCTCAATGAAGTACAGACAGACCCCTAAGGGCTGGCAGGACTGTGCTGGCGGGAGCCTCCTGAGGCATCCACGGAGCCTGAGGGCTGGGGGGAGTAACAGGACAGAGCCTTATTTGTGCCTAGCCACTTGTGCACAATGTACTGCCTATTTCTACCTCATTACTTTAAAATTTCTAGAGGATGAGCTGGGTGTGGTGGAGCACACCTTTAGTTCCCCCACATGGCAGGCAGAGGCAGGTAGATCTCTGGGAGATCGAGGCCTGCCTGGTATATATAGCAAGTTCTAGGCCAACTGGGGCTACAGGGAGACAGTGTCTCAAAAAAAAAAAAAAAAAGAAAAAAAAATCTATAGGATGCCCAGAACTTAAGCCTCTGGCAGGTATGAAGAAAGTCACACGGTGCGCATCCCCAGTGACACCCAGTGAGTGATACCTTTCCATGTGAGCCTGGCCCAGGGCCATCCTTTCCTGTTCTCACTCTCCCCTGGACCAGGGGTAGGTTTAAAACCCTGTGACAGTGTGGAGGATGGTGAGCTTTTCCCTCTTTCTCTGAGTTCTTGAAGAGCAATGGCGATGTTTCTCAAACACATCACTGTGGTGTGTGTCCACTTGGGAGGTTTCGGTGTGCACAGTCACCCATTCCTGCTAGCTCGGCCCCTCCCAGGACTGAAATCACCTGCTGAGATGATGGTATGTGCTTTGAGGCTGGCTGGCTGAGTGCAGTAGGTTTGCCTAATAGTTCTAGGACAGTCCCCTAGGGAGCTCACCTTGGGCTTCTGTCCAGATGAAGTGTTTTGACACCGCGTCTTGGTCCATCACAGGGAATCTTCACAAAGCCAACAAGCAGCTGAAGTAAGGACTGAGCTCCTGTCCCCGTCTCCATCCCTTCCCCATTCCTGTCCCCGTTGACCCTGTTCCCTTCATTCCTGTCCCCGTCCCCATCCTGTCCCCGTTCCTGTCCCCGTCAACCCTGTTCCTGTCATTCCTGTCCCTGTCCCCATCCCGTCCCTGTTCCTGTCCCCATCGACCCTGTTCCCGTCATTCCTGTCCCCATCCCCATCCCTATCCCCAGACTCTTCTTCCCTCTTACCCTCTTATCTAACCCAGATTATCGATTCTTTCGCAAACACTCCCTCTACCCTCATTATGTGTCAGACACAATCCTATCTCCCAAATATACTTAAGGAGAAAAAGCAAGAAAGAGTTGAAGAGAATTCATCTTTAAAGATTTCAGCCTTAAGTGCAAAAGCCTTTGTTTGTTTGTTTGTTTGTCTTTTTGAGACAGGGTCTCCCTGTAGCCCCAGCTTTCCTGGAACTCACTATGTAGACCAGGCTGGCCTTGAACTCACAGAGATCTCCCTGCCTCTGCCTCTCAAGTGCTGGGATTAAAGACCTGTGCCACCACGCCCTGCTCAAGTACAAAATTCTATCCACAGGACTGTTTTGAATTTCAGGTCAGACCTACCTGAATCTTTGATGTGGCCCATTTGTGTGGTGGCGGTCCTGTCACTGGACAGACTGAAGCACTACAAAAGTTCTTGTCTCTAGTGAGCCTTGGTCCAAACGGAAGAAAGAAAGGGGGGGGGAGGGAGGAAGGAAGGAAGGAAGGAAGGAAGGAAGGAAGGAAGGAGGAAGGCGGGGTGGGGGCGACTCCTAAAGAAGCCCACATGGGTTGGGGAGATGGCTCAGTGAATAAAGCTCTTGCTTGCTCACTTCTGTGAGGACAGAAGTGTGGATCCCAAGAAACCACACAAAGGCCGGTGAGGTGTGGCGGGGCCTGTAATTCCAGCACTGAGAAGCTAAAGCCCGAGCATCCCTGGAGCAAACTGGCTTGGTAGACGAGCCATATTGGCAAGTTTTGTGTTTAATTCAGACACCTTGCCTCAGTGGATAAAGTGGAGAGGAACCCTCCCAGTGTCAACCTCGGGTCCCATGCATACACATATGTGCACACATGCAAACACACATGAACACACGTGCACACCACATAGCACATACAAAAAAGAGAAAGCCTAAGTGGCAGTAGTTTTGTGTATTCCCATCTTTTTTGGTCTAAGTGGTCCGTGTCTTTAGAAAAGGCTCTCGTGGGGTTGGGGATTTAGCTCAGTGGTAGAGCGCTTGCGTAACAAGGGCAAAGCCCTGGGTTCGGTCCTCAGCTCTGAAAAAAAAAAAAAGACAGAAAAGGCTCTCCTGACTCACTGCCCTTGTACCCCTGGAGCTCAGTATTCCTGTGTGAGTCTCTGCCTGGCAAGTTACCATGATCTTCCTGTCTTCCAGGACAGCCGACCAGACTCCCAGAAACCATGCTGATGGGATCTCAGTCCTTCTCGCCCGGAGGACCCAATGGCATCATCCGGAGCCAGTCCTTCGCCGGCTTCAGCGGCCTGCAGGAAAGGCGTTCCAGGTAAATGTGGGTACTTTTCTCCTGGGGTGCAGCTGCAGGAAGCAGGCGCCTTTGTTCTGAAGAGAGTTCGTCCGTGTGCATACCTCACCACGGTACGCGCACGCTTACACACAGAACATGCTTGGTATATTTTTCAAGGAAGAGAGAATGCACCAAATTACGCTCCATCCTTTCTCGGCTATCACTATCCTCTGCAAAGATATCTGAAGATTCAGGATAAACCAGCCATCTGTGTGGCCAGCCCTCCCTGCCTCACTCCTCCCCTTTCCAGGCACACTTCCCACCACCGTCCTGTTTGGAAGACTGTGCTTGGTATGAAATTATGCAGTAGATAAAGACTATGGCCACAGAGAGACCCTGGGAGGCACCTGTGGGCCAGAAAGAGGTTGAGAAATCAGGCTCTAGTTCCCCTGGAATCACCTGTCTTTTAAGTCAAGGAAGCACAGGAAGTAAACAGGTAGGTAACAGGCAAGAAACTTCACCTGCAGTTTTTCTGATGAGATGAAGCTCTCCAAGGGTCGGTGTGCCTTGATCTACGTCCGAGCCTTTGGTGCACACAGCGATGGTAAAGGAGCACAGCTTGTAAGCAGGACGGCTGTGCCAGCGGCCAGTCGTTGAGGTGGCAGCTTTCTCCTGACCAGTCATGACGCTCCTGGCCTTTGTGGCTCCCCATCCAATGAGTCATTTGGGTTTATCAGGTCTGTCTTTCCTCTGTGCACTACATTCCTGCCATTAGGAGGAATGTGGAATTCCCATGTTATACCTGGACATCATTTTATGAAATTAATACTTCACAGCTAGGAAAATGGCTTGGTGAAGGGAGTTGCTGCTGCATAAACACGAGGACCTAAGTTCAGATCCCCGACATGCAAGTAAAAGCCAGGTGCAGCAGTTAGTGCCTGGAACTCCAGAACTAGGGGATGTGGAGACGAAAACTCCGGGAGCTTGTCGATCAATCAGACTTGGTAAAACAGGAGCTGCAGGTTCCGTGAGAAAGCGACTGTCTCAAAAAATAAAGTGGAGGGGCTGGAGAGATGCTCAGCGGTTAAGAGCACTGGCTGCTCTTGCAGGACCTGGGTTTGGTTCCCACAACATACATGGTGGCTAACAATCATTCAGAAGTCCAGTTCCAGGGGACCCGATGCCCTCTTCTCACCTCCTCGGGCATTGTACAACATGGGTGCACTTACATGCCTGTAGGCAGGCAATACATTCACACATGTAAAATAAAAGTAACAAATAAAATATTTTTTAAAATGAAGTGGAGAATGATAAACACAGAGTCAACCTCTGACTTCCACACACATGCGCACATGCACCCACACGCACTTAAAATTAAATAAATAAATAAATAAATAAATAATGCTTTTAGGGCAGCTCTCAGGGCAGCTACCTGCTATGAAATGTGATATTGTTGGCACCTGATATACATGGTGCACGTGTGTTTTAGTTGGGTCATATCCCTCCACCAGTTCCTTATTTCCAGCCAAAACCATTTATTCCAGGTTTCCTGCAAGGTGGAGCACAGGAACACCCTTAGAACACAGGACAACGTGAACCCTGTGCCTGGGTTAGCCTCTACTCATCATCTTTCAGATGTTGTTTACAAAGCTAACACCCAGAAACTAAACTCGCCCACCTTGGATGTATTGGAGGGCATTACCTCTGGGACACTAGGATGAAGGCGACATGGTTTAGATGGCTCTTCCTGTGGGTCTTTTTTCTTTATTATGAATTTTTTTCAATTTCATTGATTATTTTTATTTTATGTGTATGCATGTATTACCTGCATGTAGGTAAACACACCCGTGTCATGCAATGCCCGAGGAGGACAGAAGAGGCAGTTGGATTCCCTGGAACTGGAATTACAGACAGTTGTTAGCTGCCATGTGGGTGTGGGATTTGAACCCAGGTCTTCTGCAAGAACAACCAGTGTTCTTAACCACTGAGCCATCTCTCCAGCCCCCCGTCCTGTGGGTCTTTTCCATGCCTAAAGCTTGGTTTCCTCGCTCTGATCCACAGGTGTAACTCCTTCATTGAAAATGCCTCTGCTCTCAAGAAGCCTCAGGCCAAGCTGAAGAAAATGCACAATTTAGGACACAAAAACAACAACACCCCCAAAGAACCACAGCCGGAGAGAGTAGAAGAGGTCTACAGGGCCTTGAAAAACGGACTTGAGTAAGAGCACCAGACTTGACCGTGCACTTTGTGGGAGAAGAAACCTTTCTAAAATGACCTGAGGGTCAGGGTAAAGCAAGTCCTGGGGACCATTTCTGAAATGACTGTTTATGTTCTGTTCTTTGGTTTGATTTGATTTGGTTTTCCCTTTTCTGAGGCAGGTTCTCTCGTAGCTCAGGCTGGCCTTAACTCACTGTATAGCCAGGGATAAACTTGAAGTTCTGGTCTCCTGCCTGCACCTACCAAGTGCTGGGATTGTGGAAGCTTCTTGTGCTGAGATTGAGGAAGCTTTTAAAGCCCCACAGATGAGAAATGGGCCGGATTCCACATCACATCCACAATACTGAACAGGACCTGACATAGTCCTGTGTTTACAGCTAACCCCTGCAGTGCTGGGCTTCCCTTAGACAACCAGGAACACACTAGGCACAGCCACACTGGAGATTACTAAAGAAGGGTTCTGAGCCAGGCATGGTGGGTCATGCCTGTAATCCCAGCACTGGGGAGGCCGAGGCAGGAGTAGGGTTGTGCGGGGGTCTCTCCCTCTCTTCGCGGGTCGTTGGCCACCGGCCCACGAGGGCAGGGAGAGCAGAAGCGACAAACAGGGTCAGGACGGCCAGTGAGCACTGACAGAAGAAAGCCCTTCCAGGGAGGCTGGTCCCAGGCGCAGTGAAACAGCAGTGATACAGCTCCAGACATAGTGAAACAGCTCCGTTTATTTAGTGGGAGAACTAGGGAATTTATAGTGTGGAGGCAGTAGCCAAAGCCTCAGCTGATAGGTGCTCATAGTATGCTTTATTTAGATGTGGCAGTGGGCTCCTATCTTCCAGACTAGCAGGCAATGCCTGATTATCATATAGAAAAAACCTGGGGACAGCTCCAGACTCAGTGAAACAGCTCCGTTTATTCAGTGGGAGAACTAGAGGCAATATCCAAAGCCTTAGCTGATAGGTGCTCATAGTATACTTTATTTACATGTGGTAGCAGGCAATGCCTGATTATCATATAGAAAAAACCTGGGGGTAGTTTTTACTCCAGGTAACTATGCCAAAGGTCATGTTCCAAATAAGGTCAGGCATCCGTGCTTGATGGCACCTTCCAGGTAAGCCAGGAAGAGAGCAGGAGGCCCCCTGCTGAAAAGGGGAGTCCTTCCATTTGGTGCTGAGCCCCTTAGGGCTATCCGGACATGGAGAACTACAACCCTAACAGCAGGGTTTCCCAACAGGGTTGCAAGTTCAAGACCAGCCTGGGCTACATAGTGTGACCCCACCCGCTGCCTCATCATACACACCCACACCTTCAAACGCTTTGTAAAGGATTCTGAAACCTTCCTGAGTGTAATGAGGGGACTTTGCTAAAAGAAAACTTCCCCGGCATTTGGTGGGACATTCACAGTAACGTTTGTGTTTGACTACACAGAGCTGTGTGTGCCCAGGTCTTTTCCAACCCTTCTCTCCCAGCTTCTGGCTCTTCAGCCTCACAAGGATTTGATTTGGTTTGGTTTTCAAAAGAGACAGTATCAGATGCAACTGCTATCACTTTCAAAATGAGCGGAAGACTACAAAGCTTCCTCCCAGCCACCAAGCAGTTTGATTCTTTCTTTTTGGAGACAAAAGAGGAGGCAGGCAGGATCTCATTCTCTAGTCCAGTCTAGCCTGGGACTATTACATAGCCCAAGCTGGCTTAGAATGTACAACAACCCTGCTTCAACCTCCTAAGTGCTGAGGTTATACGTGAGTCACCACCCAGCTAAGACTGCTGTTCTTAACTGCTTTTCAGCAGGGAAAGATCAGAAGCTGCCCAGACCCCTCTGAACTGTGAGAGCTCACTAAGATGTCTTATTTTTGCAGTGAGTACCTGGAGTTTCACCAGACAGAGCTGGACAAGCTGACAGCTCAGTTAAAAGACATGAAAAGGAACTCTCGCCTGGTAGGTGTCCCGTGCCCCT